CGGCCACCGAGCCTTTTGAGACGCTTCACTTGGACGTCTGGGGCCCAGCCCCTCGTCTAGGCCCTGAGCGTGAGCGTTACTTTCTGGTGGTAGTTGACGACTTCTCCCGCTACACCACAGTGTTCCCTCTGGCGAAGAAGTCTAAGGTGACTTCTACGCTGATCAGGTGGTTGCTCACCACTGAGGACACTCGTGGTCGTCGTGTCAGCTGTCTCCACTCCGACCGTGGGGGTGAGTTTCGCTCCGGCATTCTCGCTGGATTCTGTCGCGAGCAGGGCATTCGTCAGTCCTGGACGCTTCCAGAGTCCCCACAGCAGAATGGGGTTGCTGAGCGCCGCATAGGCCTGGTCATGGAGATCGCCCGCACCTCCCTGACTCACGCCTGTGCCCCCCATTTTCTGTGGCCCTACGCGGTCAGGTACGCCGCGCACCAGCTGAACCTCTGGCCACGTGTCTCTCGACCAGAGGTTTCACCGACCAGTCTTTGGACAGGGTCCCCTGGTGTTGCGTCGCGGTTTCGTGTCTGGGGGTGCTTGGCTCTTGTCCGCGACACCTCCGCGGACAAGCTCTCGCCTCGTGCCGTCCCCTGTGTCTTCCTTGGTTTCCCTGAGGACTCCTCTGACTTCACCTTTTACCACCCTCCCTCTCACCGGTTCTTTGACTCCCGTGACGTCCGTTTCGAGGAGTCCACTCCGTACTACGTCAGGTACCCCAGTCGAGGTCTCCCGGTTCCTCCTCCCCCCCTCTTCCTGACTGCCGTTCCCCCTCCTGCTCCCCCGGTACAGCCTCCCCCCCCTGGTCCAGCCCCGTCAGGTGTGTCCCAGGCTACCCCTCCTCCTTCGGTAGCCCCTCCGGTACAGCCTCCCTCCCCACAGTCCTCCTCGCAGCGTGCCGCTGGTGCTAGCTCTCGAGAGGTTGGTGCGGCGCCTGTTCCTGTACCGGTTTCTGGTTCTGGGGGTGCTGGAGTTGGAGCTGGAGTTGGAGCTGGAGTTGGCACTGGAGTTTCTGGTTCTGGGGGTACTGGAGTTGGAGCTGGGGTTGGAGCTGGAGTTTCTGGTTCTGGAGTTGGAGCTGACCCGGTGGGTGCAGAGGACTCTTGTCGTCCGGGAGCTGGTGCTGGCCGCGCGGACACTGGGGGTGCTGCGTCTGGGGGTGAGGGTGCGCCTCCTTCGGGTTCAGGTGAGCCTGGTTCTGGAGCTGGTGTTAGTGCTGCCTCTGGGGGTGGTGCGCCTAGTTCTTCTGAGGTGGACTCTGGAGCTGCCGCTGCTTCGGACACTACTCCACCCCCCCACCCCTACCCAACTAGGCACCAGGCTCGTGTTCGCCGTGCCCGTGGCGAGCAGCTGGCGTTGGAGAGAGAGGAGAGGGAGTTACAGCGGCTGGAGGAGCAGCAGCAGCAGCAGCTGGAGCCGCAGGAGCAGCAGTAGCAGCAGCAGCAGCTGGACCCGCAGGAGCAGCAGTCCCAGCAGCAGCCGCGTCCGCAGCAGCAGCAGTCGCAGCCGCAGCAGCAGCAGCCACTTCCTCCTCCTGTCTCGGGTCTTCGGATCCTTGGTCTCCCCTCCCCTTCTCCTCCCTCCTCCGCCTCTCCTCCTGTCTACGGTCCCACGTTTCCTCCTCCTGACTCCTCCCCCGCTGTTTTCCCCAGTTCTCCGCCTTTGTCCTCTCCTCCTCCGTCTCGTTCTTGGGCTACTCGTCGCTCCCCTCGTGCTCGTCCCTCGTCTCCTGATCCCTTCACTGACCTTCGTACTGCCTTCCTTCTTTCTAGTCCACCTCGTCCGTCTCAGTCTGTGCTTCCGTCTCCTCCTGAGTCAGCCCTCACTGTGTCGCTCCCTACTCCTGTCACTGACTACTACCGCACGTACCGTCCTGTTCTCTCTCGTGTTCTCGCCTCTCTTGTTACTCACCCTCGTGCCTCTGTGTCCTCTGTGTCCGCTCTTACTGCCGCAGTTACTGACTTTGCCTCTACCCGCCGCCTTGACTACGCCACCACGCTTGTGGCTGCTCCTCCTACCAGTCCTCTGGCCGTCGGGGGTGTGTCTGCCCTTGGCTGTGACGCCCTAGAGGACAGGCAATTTGAGCTAGAGTTCCTGGCGGCCGCTTCCCCTCATCTCTGTGCCATGCTCCTCGCCCCTGAGGGTGACCCCGACGCCCTTGACATTCCGACTCCTCGCACTTACGCTGAGGCAGTGTCAGGGCCTTGGGCCTCTCAGTGGAGAGCTGCCATGGACGCAGAGATGGCCTCCTACAGATCCACAGGCACCTACGTCGATGAGGTTCCCCCCCCTGGGGCGAACGTAGTCGACGGCATGTGGATCTACAGGGTGAAGCGGCCACCGGGATCTCCCCCGGTCTTCAAGGCGCGCTACGTGGCTAGAGGTTTCAATCAGCGCGAGGGAGTTGACTTCTTTCAGACCTTCGCACCTACCCCGAAGATGACCACTCTTCGGGTGTTACTACACGTAGCAGCACAGAGAGACTACGAGTTACACTCTCTCGACTTCTCCACTGCTTTCCTTCAGGGCAGCCTACACGAGGAGGTCTGGTTGCGTCGTCCCTCGGCCTTCACTGGCACCTTCCCTCCTGGGACCCAGTGGAGGCTGAGGCGACCTGTTTACGGTCTTCGCCAGGCCCCTCGTGAGTGGCACGACACTCTGCGTTCTACCCTCTCTGACCTTGGGTTCCAGCCGTCTTCTGCCGACCCGTCGCTGTTCGTTCGTCGTGGCTCCACACCGTTCTTTGTTCTGGTCTACGTCGACGACCTCGTTTTCGCCACTTCGGACAGGGTTGCTTTGGCAGACGTGAAGTCCGAACTGCAGAAGAGACACACGTGCACTGATCTTGGTGAGCTGCGCCACTACCTTGGCCTGCAGATCACCAGGGACAGAGCCGCTCGCACCATTACACTCTCACAGTCACACATGGTGCAGCAGGTCCTTCAGCGGTTCGGGCTTCAGCACTCCACCGTACAGCGCACACCTCTAGCTGTTGACCACAGACTCACTGGTCCCTTTCCTGACGAGCCGTTTGAGCCTAGTGGTCCCTACGCAGAGCTTGTGGGTTGCCTCATGTACCTGATGACTTGTACTCGCCCGGACCTCGCCTTCCCTCTCAGCATCCTTGCGCGCTTTGTTGCGCCAGGGAGACACCGTCCTGTTCACTGGACGGCAGCTGTGAGGGTGGCGAAGTACCTAGCGACTACATCAGGCGTGGGGCTAGTTCTTGGAGGGCAGCAGTCTGTCGCACTCACTGGTCACTATGACTCCTCTTACGCTGACGACGCTGAGACTCACAGGTCTACTCAGGGGTACTGTTTCAGTCTGGGTTCTGGAGCTGTTTCCTGGCGTTCCACGCGCTCCTCTTCTGTCTCGACCTCTACAGCTGAGGCTGAGATTTACGCTGGTGCCATGGCGGCACAGGAGTTACGGTGGTTGACCTTCTTGCTCGCCGACCTTGGTGAGTGGCCGAGCTCTGCACCGACCTTGTTTACTGACAACAAGGCGTCGATCCTCCTCTGTCGTGAGCCGCGACTGGAGAGCAGAGTGAAGCACATTCACGTCAGGTACTTTCTTCTGCGAGAGTTGCAGAGGCGTGGACAGGCTCGCTTCGAGTTTGTAGAGTCCGAGGCCAACACTGCAGACATCTTCACCAAGGCGCTTCCGCCTTGTGACCACCAGAGGTGTTGTGTGCAGTTAGGCCTTGTTGACACAGGTTCTAGTCATGCGTAGACTTGAGTTTATTGCCTGCTTCGTCTGTACACTTACTATATATACTTGTGATCTCTTGGACTGGCCTTGTGGCCACTGTTGCTTGTGCTCAGAGTGTGTGGTGACGTTGTGATCCACCCTGAGCTTTGTTTTCTTTTGGACTGGTCTTGTGACCGTACTCTTTTTTGTTTTTACTAGACACCCCTCACTTAGGCTATGGGGGTGTGTCAAATGTTGTAGCCTGTAGTGAGGTTTGTCTTAGGGGGTACAGAAGTTAGGGTTTGTCATATGTACCCCAACCAACATCAATGCAACATCCATTCCTCATTCTGACACTGGGGTGTCAGTAGAGCTACACTGTGAGATCCCCGATCGATCCTAAGGGGGGTTACAGGCGCGTTTGCCTGGGGGGTTATGGGCGCACTGACCCGCTACTGAAACAAGCCCTTTTATCCCAATGGTCTAGTGGTTGGGATTCTGACATGGTATCAGAGCGGTCTCGGGTTCGAATCCCGGTGTATGCACATGTTGGCCGTTGCCACTGTGCTCAGTCCTGGGCCTCCCAGTGTGGGGGGGTGTCAGTAGAGCTACACTGTGAGATCCCCGATCGATCCTAAGGGGGGTTACAGGCGCGTTTGCCTGGGGGGTTATGGGCGCACTGACCCGCTACTGAAACAAGCCCTTTTATCCCAATGGTCTAGTGGTTGGGATTCTGACATGGGGGGGCGGGGGGGGGGGGGGGGGGGGGGGGGAGGGGGGAGGTATGGAACTCGCTTCAGGGAAAAACTCGTTATTGAATACGGGAACCCTTAGTCATCAGTGTGCCTATATTGTAAACCTTGACACATCAGGGTAATCTTGACTCTTAGAAAAATTACCCTGGACCATCAGTGTTACTCCCAAAAACCACCCTGATTATCAGGGCATCAGGGTGATTTACACTGATAAAAATAGCCCTGTTCGCGACCCAAAAAAAATGAAAATCCTGATTTTCAGCCCTATGCCCTAAAACGGTATCCTAACTTTAGCGATTTCAGGATAAAATAGCCTGATAAATTAAGGCAATTTCTGTAATTCTTATTATCCTAACGTGAGACCCTAAGTCTTATATCAGTGGGAGGGATGATGGTAGATCAAGTTTTGTGTTCCACATAAACACATCAAGCCAATGGGGCTTGATTCCTAAAATTGTACATATATATATAATATATATACCAGTAGCTCTTCCACAACTTCAACGTCAAACCACAACTGCTGCACCTGCAAGCCTGCATCGCATGTTCCCATGGCTGCTCGTCACACCAGGTCCCATGGTCGTATGCCCGGCACGTAGAGGTACAGCTCCTCCATCATCCCCTTGGCGCGCGCCTTCACCTCCTCGTGTGCCTCCTCGTCCCCCCACCCCATCTCCCTCTCATGCGCCTGCACCACCGCACTCAGCGCCTCCACATAGTCCGTCAGCGCGTTGCCCACTCGCACCGCCTCCTCGCCTCCTGCTGCCGCCGCCGCCGCCAGCGCTGCCACTGCTGCAATCTCCCGCTCTGCCTCGCGCTGCTCTCTCGCTCGGGCCAGCTCCCTTGGCGTGGGATGAGCGCAGGAGGGAGTGGCATCACCATCAGCAGCACCATCTGCAGCAGCAGCAGCAGCAGAAGAACCCTCATCCCCGCACCTCACTTCTACACCCCTCGCCTCCCACACTCCCTCGCCTCCACCTCCCCCATCCAGCAGCCCGTACCTAGCGAGGGCAGCAAGGGTCTCAGGCGGGGTGGCATCAGCGGCGTCTTCTAGCCACGCCAGCAGCGGCGCCATCGGCTTCCCCACGCCCTCCACGCCCTCCCGTGCCGCCTCTGCCGCCGCCACCACCCCCCCCATGGCCCGCGCCACATGCCGGCTCGCCAGACCCTCCGCCCACCGCGACCCGCCCCTCCTCCCCTCGCCTGCACCTCCCGCCTCTCCGCTCCCCCCTGCTCCTGTGCCTTCCCCTGTACCTGTGCCTGTCCCTCTCTCTCCTCCCTCGTCTGTCCACGCAATCTCTCCTGCCTCATCTTCCCCTCTTCCTCTTCCGCTTCCTCCACCCTTTCCCCCCTCCCTCCCTGAAGGGCGCTCCTTGAGGGAGCGCAGCAGCTCAAGAGCCCGCACCTCCTGCATGGCATCCAGGCTCGCTGCTGCCACCTGCAGCAACACACGCCACACTCCCCCCCTTTCACCCTTCCCCCCGCCACTCCCACTCCGCCTCCCCCGCTGCCCCCGCCCCCCCATCCCCCACAACACATCATCCTCATCCAAATCATACCCTTGCACACCACTCTCACCTCTCCCCCCACCATCCCCCTTCTTCATCCCATCTGCCTCCAAGCTCCGGCCAGTCTTAGCGCGCCACGTGGCAACCAGCTGGGAGAGGCGCCGGGTCCACTGCAGGCTCTCATCCAAGACGAGCTCCAGGGGGGACGCCTCCTTGCTGTGGGTGGCCACCACTGGCAAGTGCAGCTGCAGCGACGGGAAGCGCGCATGCACTGTCAGAACCATGCGGTGCCGCCACACGGGGAACACCGCACCCCGCCCGAATGCAGTTCCACTCACAATGTCGCTGGAAACATCCCCCATACCGCCGCTGCCCATACCGCCGCTGCCCATGCCATAGCCTGCCCCCGCAGCGCCCCCAAATCCCAGCTCCAGCAGCCTCGTCACCTCCTCCCCCGCCCCCCCCCTCGCCTCCCCCTTCCACCAGCCCCTCAACTGCAGCAGCAGCAGCAGCTGCAAGAGCCGAAGGCGGCATGCTGAACTGAAAGCTCCTGAGAGGCCCGCAGCCGCCGCCGCTGGCGCCAAACAGCTCGTCCAGGTCGCCCCTCGCCGCGCCCTCCTTGCCATCCCTCAGCCCCTCCTCCCCCTCAGGCAGGCCTGGGGGAGGGTCAACTGGAGCGGGGTAGACTGGCACGACCTGCACGGTGCACAGCTGTGAGTGCCGCAGGTCGTCGGGTGTGACTATGGGCGATGTGATAATGCGCAGCGAGGTGCTGCTGCCCAGGATGCGGGCGTAGATGCCCTTCAGCCGCCTCACCAGGTCCCCTGCTGCCGTGTCTCTGGGGAGGGAGGGAGGTGGAGGGAGATGTGGGAGGAGTGGAAGGATGGTGGAAGAACAGCGGGTTGAGCATGGAGCATAGTGACTGTCAAACTGTATGGACAGTTGACTGCAAATGGCACGTCCCTTGAGCTTCCCATCAGCACATCCTTCCCACAAGCCCACCCCCCCCCACCACGCGCTGCCCTGCCGTGCCCCCACTCACCGCGGCTCCTTGTACACGAACTGCCGTCCGTTGAACTCCGCCCCAAACCGCTCGCCATAGAAGGCCACCAGGAAGAAGCTCGCACCCTGCACACTCGACTGGAGGGACTGGTGGCACCCGCTCTCCCTCACCCCCTCCTCCCCGCCCCCTCCCGGCCTCTGAGTCAGCAGCAGGTATGACGCAGCCAAGCGCCGGTGGCAGCGGGAAGCTGCGGAGAAGTTTCCCTGCTCTTTCCAGAAGGGCAGCAGCAGCTCCTGCAGGTGGACGGCGAAGGAATGCAGGCCGGCCGAGGCGAAGAGACAGGAAGCTTCCTCGAGGAGCGAGGCAATGAAGAGGGGGTTGACGTGCAGGTACCCTGCCACCCGCCCCGCCACCACCACCCTCTCCTCCTCCTCTCCACCGCTGCCGCCACTGCTCTTCTGCCCCCCCTTGCTCCTCCTCTTGCTCCTCACAGTGGCTCGGTTGGAGGCAGCTCGGAGCAGCCCTGGGGCGAGCAGGGGCAGGTCGGGGCACACCCGAGCGAGCGCCGACACGTGCTGCTGCCCCCACACCGCCCCGCTGCTGCGCTGCCCTCCAGCTGCGCGTGAGAAGAACCCCGCTGCCACTGCCTCGTCGCCTGCTTCATTGCCTCTTGTGCCTGCACCCATCGTGATTGTTGTACTGGTCGTGGCAGTGCTGCTGGTGCTGGTGCTGGTGGTGGTGGTGGTGGTGCTTGTGATGACACTGCGGGCGCCGATGGCACCATCATCACCCTCGCCACCGTCACTGCTAGAGTGATCCCGGGGCGGGTGGGGGCGGAGGGCGAGCAGGTACTGCAGCGCCACAGCAGCAGCGGCCACGCAGCACTGCCCCGCCTCCGCCGTGCCTCCCAGGGGGTCGAGGTGGCGGTGGGCGAGCGCGAGGCGCAGCAGCAAGAGCACGTGCAGGTCGGGCACGTGCGAGTACGCAGCGGCGCACTGCAGGTACCCCTCCACCACTGCTTGTCGGTCCTGCACTGCCGCCCTGGCCTGCCCAGCTAGGGGGGAAGGGAAAGAGATGCACTGGGATGAGATTGCACACCCAACGTGCCTGCCCAGGGGGAGCCGGGGCCAAAGGGGAGCCGGGGCCAAAGGGGAGGGAAATGGGACGGCTAAGCTTGATTTGACACGAGAGCACTGACGACTTGGGGTGGGAAGAAAGGGAGGCAAGGCGAAGCAAGTGGGGTTGAGTGAGGGGCACATTGGATGGTAGATGCGATGGAGGCATGGTGGGTGTGACGCATGGGTGTAATTGAGGCATCAATCAATGTGAGTGAGGCATGCTCAATCCTGCCACTCACCATGTCAGCATGCTCCTGCCATGCGTCCACAGCATGGCGCAGCACGGCAGAGAGCGCCTTCACCTCGTGCCACCGCCAGCGCCTCGCCAGGTCTGCCAGCACCTGCTCGCCCAGCCCCACGGCCCCCAGCAACCTCCTGCCCTGCGTGCCCGACCCCACCATCCTCACCACCGCTCTGAACCGTTCATGATGCTCCTTGTCCCACTCGCGCTGCTTACTCCACCCTTGTCCTTGTGCTTCTTCCCCTCCTTCTGCTCCTTCTCCATCTCTCCTCATAGCCCTATTCCCCCGTTCATCTTCCCAAGAGTTCTCACTCATATCCTCCGTCCCCTCCTCCACTATCCTCCCTTTCCCCCACCCTTCCGTTCCTCGTCTGCCAAACCTCCCGGGTCTCCCCGGACCTGTCCTGGGCTCGTCTACAGGCAGCCCTGCCGGACCTATACCGGCCGGATCCAACACCGCTGCCGAGCCAAGCTGCACGGATTGGGCCATAGCTGGTAGTGCAGCAGGAGCAGGCGCCTTAGTAGGCGGGCAGGCGGCAGAGTAAGCAGATTCCAAGGAGGGCGGGCAGGAAAAAGGTAGAGAGGAGGGGTCCCAGGCGGGGGTGAAAGAGGAGACGCCAGAAGCAGGGCGGAGGGGGTGCGAGGCAGCGAGGGCCACGCAGGCAAGAGGGGCGGAGGAAACATCAGAGGAAGGCCACAGGGAGGATTGCTGCTGCTCCTTCTCTTGCTCCTGCTCTTGCTCCCCCTTGCCTCCCCTTCCGCCTCCTCGTCCCTCTGCCCTCCCCTCTCCCCCATGCTGCCAGTCACTCCCCCTACCCCTCGGCATGCCGTGGCTGTGCGTGCTGCGGGCGGTGGAAGGGCCGTGCCTGTCGTCGGAGCCAAGGCTGTGCCCCTCGTCATCAAGCCACTGCCGCTCGCTTGACCCAGGCAGGGCATGCGCGGTGAGGTCAGCCCAGCCCCCCACGCTGCCCGCTCGCGCGCGTCCCACTCGCGGGCGCTGGGCGTGGTGTGAGGCGGGGAGCAGCAGCCCGCCTCCGTGGCTGTGGGATCGCGTGTGTGATGCGTGCTGTGCGCCACTGTTGCTGCTACTGTTGTTGAGGTGTTGAAGGGGGTTGTGAGCGGTTGCAGAGGCAGTGCCAGTGGCAGCAGCAGCAGTGGCGGCGGCAGAGCCAGGAGGAGGGGGTAAGGGGGAGAACGATGCTGCTGTGTGGCTGCTGAGAGCGTCAGGAGCAAGAGAGAAGGACCGACGATGCCGTTGATGCTGCTGCTGCTGCTGCTGCTGCTGCTGCTGCTGCTGCTGCTGCTGCTGCTGCTGCTGCTGCTGCTGCTGCTGCTGCTGCTGCTGCTGCTGCTGCTGCTGCTGCTGCTGCTGCTGCTGCTGCTGCTGCTGCTGCTGCTGCTGCTGCTGCTGCTGCTGCTGCTGCTGCTGCTGCTGCTGCTGCTGCTGCTGCTGCTGCTGCTGCTGCTGCTGCTGCTGCTGCTGCTGCTGCTGCTGCTGCTGCTGCTGCTGCTGCTGCTGCTGCTGCTGCTGCTGCTGCTGCTGCTGATAATCACCGTAAGGAGCAAAAGCACCATCAGCAGCACCACCTGCTGTGAGCGCCCCTCCTTTCCATCCCGGAGGAGGCTTGAGAGCAGCGGGAGCAGGAAGAGTGGGGTGAGTGGGTTGGATGAACTCCACAGCCGGATGCGTGGAGAGGGGCAAGTCGGGAGAGAGGGGGAGGATCGAGGAAGGGGAGTGAGGAGGGTAGAGGGGAGTGCAGGGGCGAGTGAGGAGGTCGATAGAGGAGAGAGTGAGGGAGACGGTGATGGCAGCGACTGTCCCACTCTCCCTCACTGAGTCCTGCAGGGGGAGTGGGTGGGTAGGTGGGGGTAAGAGAGAAGGGGAAAGGGAAGCGGAGAAGAAAACTGGGGTGCACGGAAACAGCAGCAGGCGGTGGGCAGTGAGGGAGCGAGCAGAGCGGGCGGCGTGGATTGACACGGTGTGGCTTGGCATCACGGAACAGCTTTGTGCCATGGATGCTGCCCATGGATGCTGCCCATGGATGCTGCCCATGGATGCTGCCCATGGATGCTGCCCATGGATGCTGCCCATGGATGCTGCCCATGGATGCTGCCCATGGATGCTGCCCATGGATGCTGCCCATGGATGCTGCCCATGGTTGCTGCCCATGGATGCTGCCCATGGATGCTGCCCATGGATGCTGCCCATGGATGCTGCCAGGATGCTGCCATGGATGCTGCCCATGGATGCTGCCCATGGATGCTGCCCATGGATGCTGCCCATGGATGCTGCCCATGGATGCTGCCCATGGATGCTGACCATGGATGCTGCCCATGGATGCTGCCCATGGATGCTGCCCATGGATGCTGCCCATGGATGCTGCCCATGGATGCTGCCCATGGATGCTGCCCATGGATGCTGCCCATGGATGCTGCCCATGGATGCTGCCCATGGATGCTGCCCATGGATGCTGCCCATGGATGCTGCCCATGGATGCTGCCCATGGATGCTGCCCATGGATGCTGCCCATGGATGCTGCCCATGGATGCTGCCCATGGATGCTGCCCATGGATGCTGCCCATGGATGCTGCCCATGGATGCTGCCCATGGATGCTGCCCATGGATGCTGCCCATGGATGCTGCCCATGGATGCTGCCCATGGATGCTGCCCATGGATGCTGCCCATGGATGCTGCCCATGGATGCTGCCCATGGATGCTGCCCATGGATGCTGCCCATGGATGCTGCCCATGGATGCTGCCCATGGATGCTGCCCATGGATGCTGCCCATGGATGCTGCCCATGGATGCTGCCCATGGATGCTGCCCATGGATGCTGCCCATGGATGCTGCCCATGGATGCTGCCCATGGATGCTGCCCATGGATGCTGCCCATGGATGCTGCCATGGATGCCCATGGATGCTGCCCATGATGCTGCCCATGGATGCTGCCCATGGATGCGCCCATGGATGCTCCATGGATGCTGCCCATGGATGCTGCCCATGGATGCTGCCCATGGATGCTGCCCATGGATGCTGCCCATGGATGCTGCCCATGGATGCTGCCACCATGGATGCTGCCCATGGATGCTGCCCATGGATGCTGCCCATGGATGCTGCCCAATGGAATGCTGCCCATGGATGCTGCATGGATGCTGCCCATGGATGCTGCCCATGGATGCTGCCCATGGATGCTGCCCATGGATGCTGCCCATGGATGCTTGCCCATGGATGCTGCCCATGGATGCTGCCCATGGATGCTGCCCATGGATGCTGCCCATGGATGCTGCCCATGGATGCTGCCCATGGATGCTGCCCATGGATGCTGCCCATGGATGCTGCCCATGGATGCTGCCCATGGATGCTGCCCATGGGATGCTGCCCATGGATGCTGCCCATGGATGCTGCCCATGGATGGCTGCCCATGGATGCTGCCCATGGATTGCTGCCCATGGATGCTGCCCATGGATGCTGCCCATGGATGCTGCCTATGGATGCTGCCCATGGATGCTGCCCTGGATGCTGCCCATGGATGCTGCCCATGGATGCTGGCCCATGGGATGCTGCCCATGGATGCTGCCCATGGATGCTGCCCATGGATTGCTGCCCATGGATGCTGCCCATGGATGCTGCCCCATGGATGGCTGGACCACTGGATGCTGCCCATGGATGCTGCCCATGGATGCTGCCCATGGATGCTGCCATGGATGCTGCCCATGGATGCTGCCCATGGATGCTGCCCATGGATGCTGCCCATGGATGCTGCCCATGGATGCTGCCCATGGATGGCTGCACCATGGATGCTGGCCCATGGATGCTGCGCCCATTGGATGATGCCATGGATGCTGCCCATGGATGCTGCCCATGGATGACTGCCCATGGATGCTGCCCATGGATGCTGCCCATGGATGCTGCCCATGATGCTGCCCCATGGATCTGCCCATGGATGCTGCCCATGGATGCTGCCCATGGATGCTGCCCATGGATGCTGCCCATGGATGATGCCCATGGATGCTGCCCATGGATGCTGCCCATGGATGCTGCCCATGGATGCTGCCCATGGATGCTGCCCATGGATGCTGCCCATGGATGCTGCCATGGATGCTGCCCATGGATGCCTGCCCATGGATGCTGCCCATGGATGCTGCCCATGGATGCTGCCCATGGATGCTGCCCATGGATGCTGCCCATGGATGCTGCCCATGGATGCTGCCCATGGATGCTGCCCCATGGTGCTGCCATGGAATGCTGCCCATGGATGCTGCCCATGGATGCTGCCCATGGATGCTGGCCCATGGATGCTGCCCATGATGCCTGCCCATGGATGCTGCCCATGGATGCTGCCCTGGATGCTGCCCATGATGCTGCCCATGGATGCTGCCCATGGATGACTGCCCATGAATGCTGCCCATGGATGCTGCCCATGGATGCTGCCCATGGATGCTGCCCATGGATGCTGCCCATGGGATGCTGGCCCATGGATGCTGCCCATGGATGCTGCCCATGGATGCTGCCCATGGATGCTGCCCATGGATGCTGCCCATGGATGCTGCCCATGGATGCTGACCTGGACTGCCCATGGATGCTGCCCATGGATGCTGCCATGGATGCTGCCCATGGATGCTGCCATGGATGCTGACCATGGATGCTGCCCATGGATGCTGCCCATGGATGCTGCCCATGATGCTGCCCATGGATGCTGCCCATGGATGCTGCCCATGGATGCTGCCCATGGATGCTGCCCATGGATGCTGCCCATGGATGCTGCCCATGGATGCTGCCCATGGATGCTCGCCCATGCGATGGCATGGCTGCCCATGGATGCTGCCCATGGATGCTGCCCATGGAATGCTGCCCATGGATGCTGCCCATGGATGCTTGCCCATGGATGCTGCCCATGGATGCTGCCACATGGATGCTGCCATGGATGCTGCCCATGGATAGATGCCCATGGATGCTGCCCATGGATGCTGCCCATGGATGCTGCCCATGGATGCTGCCCATGGATGCTGCCCATGGATGCTGCCCATGGATGCTGCCCATGGATGCTGCCCATGGATGCTGCCATGGATGCTGCCCATGGATGCGCCCATGGATGCTGCCTGGATGCGCCATGGATGCTGCCCATGGATGCTGCCCAGGATGCTGCCCATGGACGCTGCCCATGGATGCTGCCCATGGATGCTGCCCATGGGTGCTGCCCATGGATGCGTGGGATGTGAGCGGGGTGCGACAGGGACAGCGCTGCATCAGGACCTGGGGCAGGACTTATGACCTTTGAGGCGCTTATGACCTCAAATTTCGAGGGTTACTTTTTCACTGGTTGACCTTTGCTAAAGGCGACCTTGCCTACTGCTGCCCTTCTTCATGAAGGGAGAGAGGGAGAGAGGGAGGGATGGAGGGAGGGAGGGAGGGAGGGAGGGAGGGAGGGAGGGAGGGAGGGAGGGAGGGAGGGAGGGAGGGAGGGAGGGAGGGAGGGAGGGAGGGAGGGAGGGAGAGAGGTAGAGAGGGAGGGAGGGAGGGAGGGAGGGAGGGAGAGAGGGAGGGAGGGAGGGATGGAGGGAGGGAGGGAGGGAGGGAGGGAGGGAGGGAGGGGGATGGGAGGGAGGGAGAGAGGGAGAGAGGGGGAGAGGGAGGGAGGGAGGGTGGGAGGGAGGGAGGGAGGGAGGGAGGGAGGGAGGGAGGGAGGGAGGGAGGGAGGGAGGGAGGGAGGGAGGGAGGGAGGGAGGGAGGGAGGGAGGGAGGGAGGGAGGGAGGATGGGAGGGAGGGAGAGAGGGAGAGAGGGAGAGAGGGAGGGAGGGAGGGAGGGAGGGAGGGAGGGAGGGAGGGAGGGAGGGAGGGAGGGAGGGAGGGAGGGAGGGAGGGAGAGAGGGAGAGAGGGAGGGATGGAGGGAGGGAGGGAGGGAGGTAGGGAGGGAGGGAGGGAGGGAGGAGGGAGGGAGGGAGGGAGGGAGGGAGGGAGGGAGGGAGGGAGGGAGTGAGGGAGGGAGGGAGGGAGGGAGGGAGGGAGGGGGATGGGAGGGAGGGAGGGAGGGAGGGAGAGAGGGAGAGAGGGAGGGATGGAGGGAGGGAGGGAGGGAGGGAGGGAGGGAGGGAGGGAGGGAGGGAGGGAGGGAGGGAGGGAGAGAGGAAGAGAGGGAGGGAGGGAGGGATGGAGGGAGGGAGGGAGGGAGGGAGGGAGGGAGGTAGGTTGGGAGGGAGGGAGAGAGGGAGAGAGGGAGAGAGGGAGGGAGGGAGGGTGGGAGGGAGGGAGGGAGGGAGGGAGGATGGGAGGGAGGGAGGATGGGAGGGAGGGAGAGAGGGAGAGAGGGACGGAGGGAGGGAGGGAGGGAGGGGGATGGGAGGGAGGGAGGGAGGGAGGGAGAGAGGGAGAGAGGGAGGGATGGAGGGAGGGAGGGAGGGAGGGAGGGAGGGAGGGAGGGAGGGAGGGAGGGAGGGAGGGAGAGAGGGAGAGAGGGAGAGAGGGAGGGAGGGAGGGATGGAGGGATGGAGGGAGGGAGGGAGGGAGGGAGGGAGGGAGGGAGGGAGGGAGGGAGATGGGAGGGAGGGAGGGAGGGAGGGAGGGAGAGAGGGAGAGAGGGAGGGATGGAGGGAGGGAGGGAGGGAGGTAGGGAGGGAGGGAGGGAGGGAGGGAGGGAGGGAGGGAGGGAGGGAGGGAGGGATGGAGGGAGGGAGGGAGGGAGGGAGGGAGGGAGGGAGGGAGGGAGGGAGGGAGGGAGGGAGTGAGGGAGGGAGGGAGGGAGGGAGGGAGGGAGGGAGGGGGATGGGAGGGAGGGAGGGAGGGAGGGAGAGAGGGAGAGAGGGAGGGATGGAGGGAGGGAGGAGGGAGGGAGGGAGGGAGGGAGGGAGGGAGGGAGGGAGGGAGGGAGGGAGGGAGGGAGGGAGGGAGAGAGGAAGAGAGGGAGGGAGGGAGGGATGGAGGGAGGGAGGGAGGGAGGGAGGGAGGGAGGTAGGTTGGGAGGGAGGGAGAGAGGGAGAGAGGGAGAGAGGGAGGGAGGGAGGGTGGGAGGGAGGGAGGGAGGGAGGGAGGATGGGAGGGAGGGAGGATGGGAGGGAGGGAGAGAGGGAGAGAGGGACGGAGGGAGGGAGGGAGGGAGGGGGATGGGAGGGAGGGAGGGAGGGAGGGAGGGAGAGAGGGAGAGAGGGAGGGATGGAGGGAGGGAGGGAGGGAGGGAGGGAGGGAGGGAGGGAGGATGGGAGGGAGGGAGAGAGGGAGAGAGGGAGAGAGGGAGGGAGGGAGGGATGGAGGGATGGAGGGAGGGAGGGAGGGAGGGAGGGAGGGAGGGAGGGAGGGAGGGAGGGAGGGAGGGAGGGAGGGAGGGAGGGAGGGAGGTAGGGAGGGGGATGGGAGGGAGGGAGGGAGGGAGGGAGGGAGGGAGGGAGGGAGGGAGAGAGGGAGAGAGGGAGGGATGGAGGGAGGGAGGGAGGGAGGGAGGGAGGGAGGGAGGGAGGGAGGGAGGGAGGGAGGGAGGGAGGGAGGGAGGGAGGGAGGGAGAGAGGGAGAGAGGGAGAGAGGGAGGGAGGGAGGGATGGAGGGAGGGAGGGAGGGTGGGAGGGAGGGAGGGAGGGAGGGAGGGAGGGAGGGAGGGAGGGATAGGGAGGGAGAGGGAGGGAGAGGGAGGGAGAGGGAGGGAGAGGGAGGGAGAGGGAGGGAGAGTGAGGGAGAGGGAGGGAGAGGGAGGGAGAGGGAGAGAGGGACGGAGAAGTTGCTAGGGCAGGCAGGCAGGCAGGCAGGCAGGCAGCCAGGCCGGCAGGCAGGCAGGCAGGCAGGCAGGCAGACAAGCGGGAAGGAGGGCAGGAGGGAGGCGTACGGCGATGAGGAGCAGCAGTCCCACGAGCGCCCTCTCGCGCACGGCAGCGTGGGCAGCGAAGACAGCGCAGTGCAGCAGCCAGTGCGTCATGTTCTTCGCCAGCCGCCCGTTGCTGCGCTTGCCCAATAGCAGCGCTCCGTGCCTCGCCACCTGACGGCGCGCGGGTGGGCAGGTGGATGAAATCGTGACACAGAAGAACAAACGGGAGGGCGTGTGGTTTATTCGGAATCCATGCGGGGATTGAATCAGCTCGTTGCTAGCATGTGTCGTCCAGCTCTTGCCAGTGATTCAATCAACCACCAAAGCAACACAACACCTACCACACCAGTGCGAGGCGTACCAGTTTGAGCAGCAGAGGGACAAAGCTGGTCCAGTGCTCCGGGGTGAGCACAGCCTCGTGGCTCTTCACGAACGCCGCCCACACCAGCTCCTCCACCTCCCCCGCCGCCACTGCGCCTCTCCCCGCCCTCACCACCCCCTCAGATAACACCTCCACCACAGTTAACACCTGCTTCTGCTCTTCCATTCGCAGCCGTCTTGCCTCCTTCCGTCCTCTCTCCCCAACCCCCTGTGCTTCCGCATCACAACCCGCTCCTCTGCGCCCCCCCGCCCGCCGCCCCCCTTGTTCCTCCCCTGTGTCCGGTTCACCCTGGAAAGGGGGAGGCAGAGACGGATGCGGGGAAGGGAGGCGGGGAGAGGGGCGATGGTTGGGGGGGGGAGAAGGGAAGGGATTGGGCTCAGACCTTCACATCAAGCAGGGGGGAGGGGGGCCGGGAAGGGGAGGAGAGGGTGGATAGCGGGAGGGGCTGAACAAGGAGGCGACGGGGCAGCAGGAGGGTGGTGTGGTGCGGAGGTGGGGAGTAATGTGGGGTGGGGAGAAGGAGGGAGAGTGGTGGGGGGAGACAGGTGGGGAGAGGTGCGGGGAGAGAGGTGAGAGGAAAAAGGTGGGGGGGAAAAAGTGGAGTGAGAGTGCTGGGGGGGTAAATGTGGGGGAGAGAAAGGTGGGGGTAGAGCTAGGGAAAGAGAGAGGGAGGGAGTGGTGTGGGGAGGCGCGAGCACGTGGGGCTGCGCGCACCAACTCCGCAGCAACGAGGCGCGCCACCACCCCCCAGCTCTCCTGCCACACCGCGCTCGCCGACTCCGCCGCGCGCGCTCGTAGGGGGAACAGCGCGGCGCGCAACTTGCGCCTCTCGCGCGCTGACAGAGCCTCGTACACCGCACGCACGCCCCTCTCCGCCGCGCTCTGCGCCGTAAGGGGACGCGGGGCTGGTGCGGAGTCCCCGGGAAAGCCCCCGGATGGCGTGGAAGTGGCGGACGGCGCGGACGGCGGAGCGGCAGTCCGCCGGGGCGGGTCTTTCAAGCGCGGAGGGTTGGAGACGCGAGGAGGTTCGGAAAGGCGCGGAGGGTTGGCAATGCGCGCCGGGAGTCGCGCGGAGGAGGCAGACGAGAGCGACCATTGCTGCGCGTGGGTGCGTTCCGCCGCCGCGTGCATGCAGACAGACTTCTCGGCGCGCTTCTACGGAGTTTACGTGGCATCGCAGCAGAAAAAATCAAATCTCGTTGGGCATGCTTTTGCGGTTTAGTTGTAGATGAAAATGAGATATGGCGCTTCGAAAAAACTTCACATACCTACGTCACAGGCTACGTTTTATGGGCGTATTTGTTGGTTAGGCGAATTGTTGGTTTCGTCGAGCGTTATTGCATTGGGTCTGTTCGAGGAAGTACTCTGTACATAAATAAAACCCTAAGAATACTGAATCCACTTTAGAAAGTATGAGATCATTCCTCCACCTTCACATTTTCAGAACTTATCCACAACTCGCTTGATTGTTCTCTAGCTTCGGAAGCTGGCCACATTGCTCCTATTACCATATGAAATTCAACGAGCAGGAGCTGCAGGAGCTGACTCTACCGAGTACGAAGTCGAGGAGTCAGAAGAGTCGAAGCGACACAATCAACCGTCTGACCAGGACCGACGCAAGCAGAAACCTTTGAAATGGAAAGAGGGGGAACAGGTTTGAAACAGGTTCCCGCGCCACACGGTTTGAATTCGCTGTAATAAGGGAATGTACTTCTTAGAGTACATGGCTCGTCTAGGTCGTTTCGCATTCCTCTGTATTTCCTAAATAAACAGTATGTATATATGCTACTTGTCAAACTATCATGCTGCTTATGTGTTAGAATACTAAGAAGGAATGTGTGTTAGGTAAGAGGGAGGGGGTACAAGACTATCGAGAGAGTTGGGTTGTACCCTCTAAGGTGTGACCCCTAACAACCTAGAGTGAAATGAACAGAACAATATGTTTTGACACACCCCCATAGGTGAAGTAGGGGATAGCCAAACCTAACAGTGATCACAATACCAGTCAAGCAAGAGAACAAGCAAGGCAAAGCCCAGGGTGGATCTCAAGGACACCACACAATCTGAGCACAAGCTGTTGAAACTTAGGCAAGGATGGATTCAACTATCGAGAGAGTTTTGCAAGTAGGAAAACCCTAAGGGGCTATACCCCACAAAGTCTAACCCATTACAGCTTACCAATAACTACAACATATAGCATATATATGTTTAACACACCCCCATAGCCAAAGTGGGGGAGAGCAAGAGGTCACAAAACCAATCAAGAGAAGCAAAGCAAGCTCAAAGTGGATCACAACGTCGCCACACACTCTGAGCACAAGCAAAGGGCCACAAGGCTAGTCCGCATGCAGAGGTATATATGCAGCAAGAACAGTACAGTGATCTCTACCTAGCAAGAGCAGGCATGCAGGTATATACATATAGATCACAGTACAAGCAGAGTCTACAGCAAGTGCGGAAACTTAGGCACAAGACCCAACAAAGTACAAAAGCGCTGATGGTCACCAGAGGGAAGTGCCTTGGTGAATATATGAGCAGTGTTGGCCCGAGTGGCCACGTGAGCAAGGCGAAGCTGACCCCGCTGCTGCAACTCTCGAGCCAGGAAGTAACGTAGAGCGATGTGCTTCATTCTGTGCTCTAGTCTGTGCTCCTCACACAAGGCAATGGCGGCCTTGTTGTCGACGTACAGAACTGGAGGAGAACGAGGCCTCTCTCCCAAGTCGGTCAGCAGGTAGGTGAGCCAGCGTAACTCTTGAGCAGCCATGGCTGTGGCGTAGATCTCGGCCTCACAACTGGAGCCGAGAACTGAAGACAAGCGTGTAGAACGCCAGGAAACTGAACCAGAGCCAAGGCTGAAGGTGTAACCCTATGACGACCGCTGCGTAGCTAGGTCGTCAACCCAAGAGGCGTCGGAGTGCCCAGTGAGGACAACTGCGCTCTGCCCTCCAAGCACGAGCCCCATGCCCGATGTACTGCACAAGTAGCACAGTACCCTCTTCGCAGCATCCATGTGCTCCTTTTGGTGCCTACCAGGAGCCACGTAGTGGGCCAGCAGGCCAAGAGGGTACGCAAGGTCAGGTCGAATGCAGGTCATCAGGTACATGAGGCAGCCTCACAGACCAGCCGCCAGAGGCTCCACTGGGTACTAGGAGGGAACGACCCAGTGAAGCCAGGGGGGCGGCGCAGCCTGATCTCCTCGTGCAGGCTGCCCTATAAGAAAGCTGTGCTGAAGTCAAGAGAGTGAAGCTCGTAGTCACGCTGAGCAGCAACGTGCAGCAACACCCAAAGAGTGGTCATCTTCGGGGTGGGGGAGAAGGTCTGGAAGAAGTCTACTCCCTCTCGCTGACTGAAACCTCGAGAAACGTAACGAGCCTTGAAGACAGGCAGAGAACCTGGCGGCCGCTTCACCCTGAAAATCCACATGCCACTGACGATGTTCGCCCCAGGAGGGGGAACCTCGTCAACGTAAGTGCCTGTGGACTTCCAGGATGCCATCTCTGCGTCCATGGCTGTCTGCCACTGAGATGAGTACTCACCCGCGATCGCCTCAGCGTAAGAGCGCGGGGTCGGGATGTCTGGTGCATCCGGGTCTCCCTCAGGTGCAATCAGCATGGACACGAGATGAGGTACAGCAGCGGCAAAGCACTCAAACTCCTCCTGCCTGTCCTCAAGGACATCCGTGCCAAGAGCACACTCACCCCCGATAGACGGAGGACAGACAGGTTCAGACTCAACAACTAGACTAGTGGCGTAGTCTAAACGACAGGCAGCAGCAAAGTCAACAAGCTTAGTTACTAAGGCAGCAAAGCAGCAGACTCAAACGACAGGTCAGTGACAACTGTGGCTAGCAGACGCGTGACAGTAGGGCGAGCAGCACGGGTGCGGTCAGACTCAGGCTCAGGAATGGTAGGCAAAGAAGACGCAGGAGGGGACAGTAGGGGAACACAGTGTGGAGGAGAGGAAGGACGACGGACTATGAGGTGGGTGTCGGGGACAGCCGGCTGACGCGAACGAGGAACACGACGACCGGAACTACGAGAATGGACAGGCGAGACAGGACGCGGCGAAGGCTCACGACACTCAGTAAGACCCCCTGTCTGCTTAGTGTAGGGAGAAGGAGCAGGCAGTAGTGAGCCACGCTGTAACGGAAGACCGGTAGACGAAAGGAGACTAAGAACATGGCAAAGCACAGAGTCAGGCGGTGGCTAAGACGACGGAGACGTTGGAGCGAAGAATAGGCGCGGCTGTGCAGTGCCACTAGCACCAGCAGCTCCAGCACCCCCAGCAGCTCCAGTACCTCCACCAACCCCAGAACCCTCAGCGCCAGCTCCTCCAGGACCAACTCCACAAGCAGCAGCACCCCCAGAACCAGCACCTCTAGTCCCAGCAGCTCCAGTACCTCCAGTACGAGCACCTCCGGGACCAGCACCACTCCCAGCTCTAGTGACAACAGCAAAAATACCTCTAGCGGCAGAGCCTCGAGCTCCAGAAGCGCGACCCTGACGGCGACCGTACCAGTCGTGCAGCTGCTGTGAGGTGAGAGGCACACGCGGACGAAGGCGGCTACTCCAGGGAGACCGCGCAACAGCAGACTCAGAACCCTCAGCGCCAGCACCCGCAGCAGCTCCAGAACCTCCAGCGCCAGCACCCGCAGCAGCCCCAGAACCTCCAGCGCCAGCACCCGCAGCAGCTCCAGAACCTCCAGCGCCAGCACCCTCAGCAGCTCCAGACTCCGCACCCCCAGGCTCCGCACCTCCAGGCTCAGCCCCCCTAGGCTCAGCACCCCCAGGCTCCACACCCCCAGGCTCCACACCCCCAGGCTGAGCACCCCCAGGCTCAGCACTCCCAGAAGTAGCACCCCGAGTAGGACCACCCTCAGCAGAACCTGAGTCACCAGTGACCTCAACCGGCGCACTAAAGGGAGGAGGGTCTACCTGAGACACACCAGAAGGAGCAGGACCGGGAGTGGGGAGGGGGTCTACCTGGGGGGAACCTGGAGCGAGGAAGAGCGGCGGGGGGGGGGGGGGGGGGAGAGGGGCAGTGCGGTAGGGGAAGAGACGGTAAAAGGGAACCGACTCGTCGAACATGATGTCCTGAGAGGGGAAGACACGGCGCGAGGTGGGGTGGTAAAACTACAAACCAGGCACGTCAGCGACAAAGCCAAGGAAGACACAGGGAACAGCGCGGGCGGAGAGCTTGTCCGCAGTGGTATCGCGGACAAAGGCACGAGCACCCCAGACCCGGAAACGCGACGCATCGCCAACCTTCCCCGTCCACAGCAGTGTGGGCGAAGTCTCCGGCAAGGAGACACGGGGCCAGAGGTTGAGTTGATGCGCGGCGTACCGGACCGCAAACGACCACAGAAAATGGGTGGCAGCCGCATGGATCATGGAGGTACGAGCGACCTCCATGACTAAGCCAATGCAGCGCTCAGCAACCCCATTCTGCTGCGGAGAGGCCAGAAGCGTGAACGACTGGGTGATGCCGTGCTCCTCACAGAAGGCTGCCAAGAGGTCGGAGGTAAACTCACCACCTTTGTCAGAGTGCAGACGCAAGACGAGAAAGTCCGTCGCGAACCGCTCGCGGAGCTCGAGACGAGCAGCGCGGATGCAAGGGATCAAAACATCAGGGACCTCACCCTTGGTGCGCAAGGGGAAGACCGTGGTGTAACGCGTGTAGTCGTCGACGACCAGCAGGAAGTACCGCTCGTGGCCCTGTCTACGGACGCGGGCTGGGCCCCACACGTCCAGGTGGAGAGTCTGCAGGGGAGCCTCTGTGGGAGGGAACGATGAGGAGTGAGGAGCGGCGCGCTGCCACCTCTTGACACAGGGAAGACAGGGAGGAGCAGGCAAGGGTGGGAGGGGAGGGAGAACCCTGAGAAGACCAGAGACAAGGACACGGCGGTGCATGCTGCGAAGGCGCTGCACCGAGGGGTGACCAAGGCGATGGTGCCTAAGGACCGGTGCGACAAGGCGCAACATGAGCAGGGAACCAAAAACTGACCTGACGCAGACGCAGACGCAGCTACCTGAGGGGACTCAGTGGTCAGTGTGTACAGGCCCGAACTAGGCTGCCGAGTGAAAGTAGCCAGGTGACGACCCGTCTGAGCACACGTGCAGTGTGTCACACGC